TCTGCTGTTGTTACCCTTGCTAGACTGAAATCATCTTTGCGTACCCCTAGGTTTTTGTAGTAGGTCATGATGTGATCTACTCCAAAAAGCCCCGAGTGGGAGGGTAATTTATTTACAAGAATTGTGGCTATGTTTGTGAAAAAAATGTTCAAGTACTTGGCCACATCCAGTTTGTCTGTGATGAGCCTGTTATCTGTCTTTATGTTTAAGTTAGAAAATCTCGTTTTGAGTTTTTTACTGCAGCCAAGCTGGTTATTGAGTAATTTCCAAAGTTCACGGGGTTTATTTTTGTTTTCCTCAGTTTTGACATTGATGAAAATCTTTTTGGCAGTTTTGATCATGGAGCTTACGTCATTTCTTAGTCTGTTTCTTTCAATTTTGAGTTCAGTCACGTGGGCCTGGAGTTCACTGCTCGTGCTTTTGGAAAGCATTGACTGACTTTTATGAAACTCAGAGCATTTTTTGTCTCTGGTTTTCATGGCGGTCAGTATGCCGGAGTGCATCCACGGCGCAGCGCGATTTTTTACCCTGGTTGTTCTTAGGGGGGCCAAATCATTGAGTATTGCAGAGAATTTGTTTTTGAAACCAAGCCATGTTTCTTCAACTTGTGTACCACTGAGCTCATCTGACCAGTCCAGGCTCTCCAGTTCTAGGTTAAAGGCCTCGCTAGAGTAGTTTTTGAGGTCTCTAGATATGACTGTTTTGTGACAGCCGGCCCTTTGTTTTAGCTTTTTGCGGGTACAGAATATCATATAATGATCACTTAACCCGCATGCTATAACCCCTTTACTGGAGATCCTGGACTTGTCAGAGGTCAGAATGAGATCAATGGTAGTTTGTGTTGTTTCACATACCCGGGTGGGTTGGGTGATTAGCTGGCTGAAGCCGTACAGATCACAAGTCCTACTGAAGGACTTGAAGACGGACGTGTCTTTACGTTGCATATCCGTGTTCCAGTCTCCAATAATAATTGTCTCTACATCCCCCACATCAGCCAAACACCCATCTAATGTATCATAAAAGTCACTCTGTTCCGGTGGTCTATAGATTGTCCCGACTATTACAGATTTAGCATTGTCAAAAATAATTTCAACCCACACAGATTCAATATTTTCATGATGCAGGTCAGTACGGTTTTTGAAATTGGTGTCTTTATGTATGTACATGCAGACACCACCTCCATTCACGTTCCTGTCCCTTCTCACTACAAGATAATCTTCAATTTCAATCTCTGAATCTGTAATGGAATTGTCCAATTTGGTCTCAGAAAAGCATAATATGCTTGCCTTACCGTTCATGAATAGCTGCCTGAGTTCAGCCAGTTTGTGTCTCAGGCTGTTAGTGTTCAGATGAAAAATATGTAGTCCATTTTTGTTGCTTAAATGCACAATGTCGTCAGCTTGCAGATATTTGTCTTTGTCCGTTACAGCAACCGGCTTGTCGTGGTGGGGTGGTGGTGTGGGGTGGTGGTGGTGGTGGGGGGAGGGAGGCTCCGTTGTAGCTTTAGCCGTTGATATGCTAGCAGGGTGGCTAACAACATGGCGGATATTTGTTCCCTCGGATCTCGGTTCTCTTCCTCTCGTCACTGCCTCATGCGTGTCTGTCTGCCGAGGCGTCCCCGGGGGAATCTCGAAGTCTCCGTTTATTCCTTGGTCTCCGCTGTCTCCACGGTCTCTGTTGTCGTCGCGTAGTTGTTGTTGCAGCGGAAGAGATGCTAGTTCTGATGCTAATTGAGATGCTAGCTCATCGAGCCTGCAGGACTGGCTTCTTGTCTGCACCGGGCCCGGATTCAGATGGATGTCTCCCGCTAACAATAAGACCAAGACGATCATACTTCTTCGGTCTAGTTTGCCTGACGGGGGTAAGTACTTTCGCGTCGGGTTTGCAGTTAATAATGCATGAATGCTAGCACTTCCAAAAGCGAGGTGTTTCCTTTCCCAGCCGTTGTGAAGGTAAAAGTCATTGTGGTTCATTTTATCCCCGCTTTCATTACTCTCCTTCTCTAAGTGATGTTGCCTCATTGATGAGTTGAGGTAGGAGTCCATCATCCATATTGTCAGGAGGATGAAATATGTAAAAAATCGTGAGGAATAACCGCCAAAGCGGGAGCTCTCGAAAATGCGACCACTCATAGTGAAACCGGATGTTGTTTTCAATGCTAGCATGCAGAGGCTAGCTGATTCACTACCGCGCTTTCCCCTCAATAACACTCACGTGTGTGATATTGCATTAAAAGCCAAATTGACGAGATAACTAACGTTGTCCTCCTAGCTACAATACATGACACATTTCTCGGGTCATTTTGAGTAACAACAACATAGTGTGTTTGCTACATAGCTAGCCAGCTAACGTGTTAGCTTGCTACTTTGATGCAATGTACACAATAGTGCTCCACAAACTTACATCTTAACAACAATATGACGCTTTATATAATAATATCAAGTCAACTACATGGTAAAACAATGTATATGTAATGTATGTAACAAACCTTGCTTTGAGTCTCCTCTCTTCACTTACTGGGACCGTCTGACCAAAACTTAACTGTCGTGTTGGAGCGGGAGAGTAGTGGGAGGTGCTTGGTTTCGCGGGTTGTGCACGTCAACCCAATGTGTTGGGTATTCCAAAACAACCCAACACAACCTCATAGAAATTGCAACCCAACAGCTAATAACTCTATACCCAACAGAAATAACCTAGCGAATTGGGTTCTCAGAATACCCATTTCCATCAAAATAACCCAATTAAATTAACCAACAGGCTCAACCCAGTGGTTGGGTTGACAAAACAACCCAACATTTTTAAGAGTGTACACTCTTAAAAATGCTGGGTTATTTCTATAAACACATTGCTGGGTTGATTTGGCTGGGTCATAATTATGGGTTATTTGGGTACTGTAAACACACTGGTGGGTTGTTCATGCTGGGTCAAAGGGGTTATTAGGGCTTCAATTGCAGTTGAACACCCGCCTGGGTTATTTTTAACCCAGAGGTTGCTTTATTCATTTTCCCACTTCTGAATCATTCTGGAATCATCTTTTTCAAAACACAAGGTATGTAACCTATATTTTACCTATATTTATATAATTATACAATTCTGTAACCTATATTTTTTTAATGAGTTGTGATAACAGTTCAATAGGGATCTGTAGGCATTTAACAGACTGTGCAAAGTATAACATTAGCAGTTAACGTCGGCTACAAATGTTTTACATTTCTGTCAATGAGTGAAAGAGCCTTGAATTTACGTTGTGATGCGATGAATTATTATTTTACAAAGACGTGTGTTCTACTAGTAGTTATAAATGGGTCTGAACTATAGCTTTGGATTTGTGTGCAAAAGTATTAGATGTACAATAAGGCAGTATAAATCAGATGGCTTTTACGTCACAACTCTTTCCCAGCATGCAGCTCGGGCGCGGGCTTTCACACATACGGACAGACAGACGACAAAGAAGCTCATTGATGTAGGTAAGTGTAGGTTACTAGAGTTATTTATTAATTACATTAATCATTAAAGTTAGCAACTATTGAAGTTATTTTTAGGAGTGAGTGACCGGAGTCACCGAACCACATAATGTAACATTTTAGTTCCCTGCCATCGACGTGTTACCATAGGTTAGCTTAGCTTAGCATAGCACACCAACCAGCTAGGTCGTGTCAGGGGCAAATAATAATAATTCGTGAATGATTAAAATGTCTTCATGGAGAGATTTGGCAGACCCCCTGTAGTAACTGTACATTAGTAGCTTGGTACCTTACAATAAATGTTAAAACATTGCACAGTTTTGTAAAATTCTAATGTACTTAATCTGATTTGATTCTAGTAGAGGGTTTCACCATGGACACGTTTGTCACAGAGACGTTGACTGCATGGCAGCTTGAGAACTTGATTGACACATTTAAAGGTAAGTTAATTTTTATTGAGACAATGTTGAGATGTTACTATTAAATATTTTGTTATATATTAAAAAGAGCAAGGTAGCGCTGCAACAAACAACTAATTTGATAATCGATTAATGAAACGATTAATCGACTATTCGGACTATTACTGTATGACTTGCACAATTTCTCAAACGCTCTTATTTAGCCATCAACTTTTAGATTTAGCTTGAGGTTGTTTTAGGCATGTGGAAACTAACAATGAAGACAATAAAGATGAATAATTGATTCAAAAATACATATATTATTAAATTAACTAAACACATTTTGAACAAAATTAACATTGCTTTTAATTTAAATAAAATACATAATATTTCACATCAAAAGAAACAACAGTGTTTTAACAAATGGTATTAAATAATGTGATGACAGAACTGTAAACAGAATAGGTGAAACTTTAACAAACTAAATAACTCAGTTTCCTCTAATAAATAAAATAGCTTTTGAAAATATGTGCATCTTAAAGTGCTTAATTTTAGATAAATAAAATAAAGTGTAGCAGCAGCTTGAGTTTCTCTTTTTCTTTGTTAACCGTTTCACATCATGACTTAACAGTTTCAGCCGATTATAGAACAATATCAGTCTTTACACATCATAACAATTGAACAGTTTTAAAGTTTATTTTTCTTTCCCTCTTATATTGCAGTCCCTCACTCACTTTTTTTAAATTCAGTGCGAGAATTGAGCTGGAGCTTGTCCTGCCAGGAGTTTAGATCTGGGCTGAAATGGTGTCAGGGCCATTCTCACACGTAGGTGCTCATTGGTTACAGGGATGCAAACACAGGTATGGTGAAAAAAGAGAGAACTATTCGAAGCAGGAAAAAAACAGCGTAATATACCATCTGACAAAGGCCTGTGCTATAATGCTTCAATTAACTGGCTATTCTTTATAATATACTCAGATCAATAGGAGACAGAGATGTTAAGTCATAAATGAGTGAGCCGCATATGAATTATTCTGTGAACATACACTTTCAAACAGATGAGATAAGAAATGTCAGTAAAGTAAATGTACGATGTTGCTGTCCAACACTAGCTATCACACACCTTCAACAACAACAACCAAGGAGTGCATGCGGTGAACAGCAGAACTCAAATGCACTTTAAAAGCGCATCACAATTCAGTGTTTAATTCATGGATTTGAATCGTCATATATTTGTAACAATGATTACTGTCTCATCTCATCGTTCTTTGACAAACTTCTACTGTCTATTTTAACAGGCCATCCACAGACACAAAGAAAGCCCTTGCCGTGGCATTGGTGTATGAATTCCCTTGCCTTTTGGATGGTACAGGCAGTGGCAATGTAAGTTAATCAATCAACACATAAAGGAGAACACTCCATACACACACACCTAAAAGAAATGTGCTCAAACGTTTTTCCTAGTGCACAGTCACACGCACATTTTTGGATTGCTCCTTAAAATCCCATGTAACCATCTTCATGGTTTACGCCAGGCCAATTTAATCTGAATCTAATTTTCTCTTTTACAGGGAGCTTGGTACACACCTGGCCGAAATCACAAACCTGCTACAGGTTTCCTGGAGGAGCGCTTGAGGAACGTTAGGAAGCACATGAGAATGCTGAAACGACCACGCCACCAAGAACAACAGAAGGAACAGACCGTCCCTAGTACACCAGGTAATACTAATAACCAATATTAATTATCCCCGCCAGGCTAGAATAGACAAATGCAAGGGATTATATTTTAGGTCCCATGACTCTTCTGTCCATCCATCTTCTAAAAGCTAGTCTCAGGCACCGCTGGACCGATTGGCGACTTTTCACACACTCTCCCAAGTAGGCCAGAACCCCAAATGTTTGAAATCAGCTATAATGAATCTGAGGACCTCTGTACTTATCATTCAACAGAATATGATGTGCCTCCTGAAAAACTTCTAGAAATGGTTGAATGGATGAAGGTCAATAGGTATCCAGTGTCCCAAGTAGTGTTGCACGGTGTACCGATACTTGAAAGGTACCGCGATACCCTGCCGTTAAAAACGGTACGATTCCTCCGTTTCATTAGTATCGGTACTTTAAGAATGACAGGGAAAAGTACTCCGGTGAGAAAGCGCCGTTTTAATAAGAGCCGTGTGTGTTCAGCGCTCTGCTTCCACTCCTTGCGTGCACTGCAGCCGTGCCTGCAGTCCCGCCCCTCTCAAGCACGCTCTAAGTCCCTCCCCTCTCTCTCGTGCACGCGGCCACGCGCTAGCTGCCAGAGCATGTGAGAAAACTAGAAGCATGGCTGCAAGTGGGAGTGCAACTGCCGCTGCGCCTCGGCTTGTTGACAAAAAAGACGCCATAAGCGAAATTTGGAAGTATTTGAGCTAAATCTCTGACAGTGAGGGCAAGTCTACGGACACCACGAGGCCTGTCTGTGAGACATGTTTTAGATCCCTGCAAACCAAGGGAGCCAACACATCAGACTTGGCTAAGCACCAGCCGACCGGAATCCAGAGCTGTTTAAAGAATTTAAAGACAGACAGGTTAGCGAATGTGATAGATAACATAATTACATCATGCTCAAGCCCACGCCCTCAAATCTAAGTCAAACCAGTGTAATTTATTTTGTGACAAACGAGACAATTAATGGCAATGATAACATCTGCAATATACATTTTGTCAATAATTATTTATATTACTGTACTATTACATGTTAATAAAATATAAAACAAATTATATTTTATAAAACAAAAAAGTTGTTTGAGATGATTTTATTTAATACGAATTATTGTCATTTATTTTGTTTATTGTTCTCATTGTTTAAAAATGTGTGTTATGGTTATGGTGTGAAATAAAGCACAATAATTACATTTAAGACTGTTTTCCTTTTTTTAAGAAAAGTATCGAAAAATAATCGGAATCGCAATTCTTGACTTGGTATCGGTATCGAAACCAAAATGTTGGTATCGTGACAACACTAGTCCCAAGTTGAGGACTACATGAATCAAACAGCTCTACATAGAGGCAAGTGGATTTGCAGCAATGGATCTAAAAGCCTCCCGGAAATCTTGACTGAGTTCCCTAGGCTTTTAGACAATCCTGGCATGGTAAGAAATTATTTTGCTATTGCGGTTTTGTCTATTTGAATGATACTCTATTTGTGTTAGGATTTGAGGTAAGGCAGGACCCAAATGCAGATTGAGGAAAAGCGGGTTTCAAAGTGTAACAAAAGGCGAGCTTTAATTACAAAAAGTTGTTGACAATGAAAAAACAAAACAAAACCATGAATCCATAAACAGGTAGCACAAGGTAGCATCCAGCCAAAAACGACAGTGACAAACATGGAGGGTGACAGGAAAGACAATGAACCGACAAGGAACACAGGGGAAGACAAGACTAAATTGTATTGTCATACTGATATTCTGTACAAACTGTGAAGTCCACTGAGACAAATGTAACATTTGTGATATTGGGCTATATAAATAAACATTGATTGATTGATTGACTAAATACAAAGAGGGGTAATCACAGGGCAAGACACAGGGAGGGAATGCAGAAACACAAAGGCAATAGGTGAACACAATCAGACACAGGAGGGAAAACACAGGAAGGAAGAAAAGACACAGGTGAGGAGGGAGGAGAAAACACAGAGGCACAAGGTGAACACAATTGGGTTATCAGGCAGGAGGGAACACAGAGACAGGAAGCAACAGACAAGACGGGGGGGGGGTGAACACTTTTCAAAATAAAACAGGAAACCAAAAACAGATCTAGACAAGACAAAACACAACACAGACAGATCGTGACAATTTGACTGATACTCTGCAATGCACTACAAGTTTATGTTTAACCACTTAGACCCTACAGTATATACTTTGTAATAATTTAATAATTTACCTGTTGAAGTGACACTGGCTGTCAAATTGTCCCCTAACCCTTTTCCTAACAGGTACTACAAGCCCATATCATTTCTTTAAACACTGTTCTATTGTTTTTCATGTTTTTCAAAATGTATCAGATATCACAAGACTTCCAGCAGCTTCATCCAGAGGCAGTAGGAAAACTGTTTCAGAACTGGGCTACTATGAGTGACCAAATCCTTACATATGCCCAGCGAGAGGGAAAACTGCCCTTGGTGTTTGATGACATGACACCAGGTAAGCTATTTCTTACTATGTAACACACACCGGTTCTTTGAAAATAGCAGATCTACATGCTTGCATTGCGTCCCAATGAGACTCGTTGTGAGCTTGTGGATCTGCAATTTTTTTTATATTTTAACAATCATCTGTATGGGGTCCCTTGCACAACATGTTTTCGGATGGGAGTCTGTTGACAAATACATAAATACATGAACAAGTTTGTGAACCACTTCATTAGATACCTTTTGTCTTTCTTTGATTCCTGCTCCCCCCCTTCCTTTTCTTTCTCTTTCTGGAAACAATCAAAACGATGGAGCTTGCACAAAAACAAATGTCACCCACTGTTTTACACCTGTAAACCTGTGATGTGACAATAACGATTCAGATTCTGATAAGATGTCACAACACTTCCTGTGATTATAATAGGCTATACAATTCACGCCTTGTTTTTACCATTCAACACCAGGGCAGAAAAGTCAATATTGGTTCAGAAATATCAATCTTTATATACTATTTAAATGTTGATGTTAATATGTATTTTTCTTATATTGCGTAGACCGAGCTTTGAAAGTCCTGCCGATTCTGCTTCCTCCATCGGTCTACAGGATTGGAGGAAAAGTCCACAGACCCACCATAGAGGAGTCCCGCAAGTCCTTCATTAATATCCAACCAGTACGTTTTACTTTTGTTTTTCTACTTCAATAATGGTGGGTGTTTCTGTGTTTATATACTAGCATTTTCATACTTCAATAAAAAAGATAATAAAAACAACATGCTTAACTTAAATGGCAGGTTATATTGCAAGTAACTGTTGTGTAATTAACAGGTGGGCACCAACATGGTACAGTACCTACAGACAGCAGAGAGAACTCAACCCTTCCCGCACATCTTGTGTCTTGGTGATGACATGACAACATGCCAGACCTTCACCATTGTGTCAGACAACGCCATTGAAACGGACACTTTGCTGGGTGCAGTAGATCTGTGTTTTAAGGCTTTCTTTGTGTTTGACCTAAATTACACAAAGCAGTGTCTCCCCACCTGGGAGTTTATCCAACAGGCAGTATATAACATTGATGGACATGAATCCTCAAATGTCAAATTTATGAGGACATCAATTGCAGCTTTGGCCTAAAGGTACACAGAGAGAAGTAGCCTTTTAGTGATGTGTGTCAAACAAGTTGACAGCTGCTCTCTAAAAATATGATTGACACAAAACTTGATTGCAGAAGACAGTAGGCACACACTTTAATTGTGTCAAAACATTGACCCGCGTTTACAGTACCTACTATTCCTGTTAATTCATTTATTTAAATTTTATTTTTCTTACTTTACGTGATTTAATTTACTTATTATTTACTTATTTAATTTACTTCATTTATTTATTTACCTTGTTATGTTTGTGTCTGTATATAGTTTCTGCTGGGCAGAGAAATGTTTTATCTCTATATTTAAACATGTTCATGTTATTTAAACCTGAAAGAGAAGTTGGTCCAGATAACAGCACTTTGTAATATATCATTTGTTTTAAGGCTCTTTGTTTTTTTTGGGGGGGGGGGGGTTGAATTTGTATTGTTTGCATTGTTCTTTTATAGTGGCCTGAATGTTGACGATTTGCCAAAGATGTTCAAATTATGAATAAATGCATTTTTATATATATATATATACGGTGTGTTTGGAGATTATTCATTACACTATTATACATTATTATTATATTATATTTAGCCCAACAATATAGTTAATTTCAATCACTAGCTTGGGTCAAATGAACAACCCAATGTATGGTTTATATTTATTTAACCCAGTGATATAGTTAATTTCAATCACTAGCTTGGGTCAAATAAACAACCCAATATATGGTTTATATTTATTTAACCCAGTGATGTAGTTAATGTAGTCGGTGTTCCCGACTGCATACGATGAGAAATCGAATATTGTGGGAACAGATCCTGGCTTCAAATCCGATGTTTTGTATTGAACCAGGCATCCAGACTCATCAAACCTCATTTTGTGGACATAATCGTCATTTGTAAAGTGTTCGCTGCACACACGTGCGTACTGATTCAGCGGCGGATCGGACCGTTTCATGGAAATAACCCATGCTTTGAGCAGCTTCTCATCCTTTAGTGGCAGCCTATGGAAATGTACTTCTTCCTTCTTTGTATAAAAAACATTTGTGCAGCCTGGGGCAATACAATACGCTCCTGACGACGACTGTTTTCTTTTGTTGGAAACCAATTGGAAATAGACTAGATAAATACATTTCCTAATGGGAAAGCAGTTTGAAAAGTGTTTCCATTTCCCTTTAAAGCGAGGAATGGTTAAGTAACTGGAATCAAGGGAGCGTAACAGAAAATGGGAGGGGGCCATTCCATTTAAAGCATTGTATAACCGTTCCGTCTGGTGTGAACAGACAGCAGAGACATCAGTGTTATAAAAACTCACTTCTAAGAGAGACACGGAGACAAAAACGAACAGAATTCGATATCAAAACAGTCTTCCGTCCACACGTAATCGGCTCAATAAACGTGTCCGTCCACACGAGACCGCTCGACCCACTGGAGACGCTGTAGTACATATGCCGGGCCTGTAAGTGGCGCTGTACTTCCGCCACAAAATACACCAAAAGCAGCGAATAAGACCTCCCGAGCATGGTTGCCCTTCTGTTTATTCTCCGCGGTGGATTTAGCAACAAGTAGTTCATGTAGTTCTCCATGTCCACTTGTTGCTGATGGTTGTGGTAGAGGAGCTCTAGATTTGACGCAGGGGTGAGCAGCAGAGGTGAGGAGAGGCAGGGCTCTGTTTCTCTTTGTCTCTCGCCCCGAGGCGAGCGTGTGCTCCAGCTGTAAAAGGAAGGTGCCACTAACACTGAGCCTGGCTCCCGAGCAGGACGTTCTCCCCGGTAGTCCACCAGCAGATGAAAAACACCCACCTCTCCGCCTCTTCCAAGGGACGAGGGAACCGTGCGGGGGGATCTGCTGGAGGCTCTTGCTGGGTGCACTGTCCTGCGAGATACTGGGACCTGGCTCGAAACACTCGGAACACTGTTGTTGTTGTTGTTGGCAAAACACATCAGCAATGACATGGGGGTGAGCAGGAGAGGCGGGGCTATGGCGTATAGGGTGTACACACCAGAGCGTTACGTCCGCAGATCTACCCACCTTGGGACCCGTTATCGTTTGAGGGCTCCGTTTCCGCGGTTCCGTTACGGCCTCGTGTGAACGAACCGTCCATACGATAGAGAACTGTAGCGGATACAACCCGTTCCGTCTCCGTGTAAACGTGGCCTTAGAGCTTGTGAGGATGATGGTAGCTGCTTTTTGGACAAGTTGTATTACGTATATCATATTTTGTGATTTTTCAAAAGGAATGTGCAAGGATGTAGGTGTCTGATTTTGATTTATAAAAATGTAGCATATTTGGGCTTTTATACAAATGTAAAATAAGTGTTATACATCTTTGTGTGTGGCACATATTTAAGAGGGATTGACCTTTCCCTAGATTCTTAACTGTGTTGTTCTGAGAAATTCACTCAAATCTATTCCACAACAAATCGTGCTGTAATATGTACGCTTTTCAGCATACAATATTAATTAAAGTGAAGTACAGTGCGTATCAAATCAAATCAAGTTTTATTTATATAGCACATTTATAAACGATTTTTGGTCGAGCCAAAGTGCTGTACATATAATAAAATTAGCCTACAGTAGAGACACTTTACAGCAAATACAACAGCACAGATTGTTCAGAATATCAGTGTGAGAAAAACGACACCCTATATCCTTAGACCCTCACATCGTACAAGGAAAAACTTCCAGAGAAAACCCACAGTTTAAGGGGAAAAAATGGGAGAAACCTCAGGGAGAGCAACAGAGGAGGGATCCCTCTCCCAGGACGGACAGACGTGCAATAGATGCCGTGTGTAAATCGAAGAGATAATACATTTTACAGCATATAGACCGAATGTTAGGAAATGCATGCGTCTGTAATAAGAAGATGAATCCACGAGGATGTCAGCTACAATCTAATGGAAGCCATCAGGGAAGCAGCATGACGAGACCCAAGGCAGGACCGCAGAGACAGGTTCAGCCACGACCCAAAGTCCACGACTTAATCCAGAACTCAGGATAGAGGATCCAAGACACAGGACTACAGCAAGAGGATCAGCCTCGACTCCGGATCCCGGCGTAGATATAGATACAAAACAAGAAAAAATATTTGGCTGGGTTAATCGGAACAAGAGAATACACAGACACAGACAGAGAAGGAAAAGGTCATTGGATAAAAGTTATTCTTGATAACCCTCTAGAAAGCAGTACCGTGGCGTGGGGAAAAATTTAGGGGAAGCCCATTTTTTTGGGTCGGGGGGGGGACACCAGATGAGTAATTACAGCGCCCGATATCATTTTACACACATTTGTATCACACAGATGCAGGACTTGCACACGCCTGTTATCTAACCGACAGGTCCGCACGCACTCTCCAGCTGAAACTCTCTCGTCTTATTAATGTAAGCATTTTACTTATTAATGTATGCAGACAATCACACAATCTATGTGATTTTTGGATTTACCGTGCCTCTCAATTGCTTGTGACAGGTTGGCAAGGTCGATAAATCCTGAAGTTGCCCGGCTTGTTCAGGGAGCACGAATCCTTGTCAAAAAGAAGACATGGCCAGCAAAATAGACGCTGACGTTTAGCGCTTCCACTCCGTGCGGACATGATTGTCCTCATTGAACGTCCGATTCGCTCCCTTTTTCCTCTGTGTACACACAGCTCGAGTGCGGGCATTGGCCTGTCATCTGATTTAATTTTTAGTTGCTGCTGTGGCGGAAGTTTAATAAAGTTATGCTTGATTAAGTACGCCAAATCTCCACCCTCCATAATGCTACATTTGCTCGATAATTTCTAACGGCGATGATGACAGTTACAGTATTAAAACTGATGTTGATGTGATTTGATTGAATGGCAGTGTCCAATCAAATCGCCAGCTGCCAGCCGCCTCTGAAGGGAAGCAAGAGGCGGCTGGCTTCCCTTGGCATGGCCCTGACCAATCACAGGTTGGCAGGGGCATCACGTGGGCCTCATCTGATTGGTCAATCCCTCCATTTTTTTTCACCAATGGAAGCCAGATTCGGCTGGCCTCCTCTCGCAGCAGAGAGTGCAATCTCTGTTTCACCATAACATCTAGAGGGGCGCTGTTTCACTCTTTGTAAAATACTCAATGAGAATGGGTGAGAGACGGGCCGGCAGCAACACACAGCAAAGGAGAATTATCGAAACAAAACCAAGTGTTTTTATTTATTTATTTAAATTATAACTGCAATCCGAAAAAACAGGGGAAGCCTGGCTTCCCTTGGCCTCCGGGAGAAAACGCCACTGCTAGAAAGATCTCATGAACTTCCCCACTCAATCTATCAAGACCCGAGCAGTTCTTATTAGAAGTCCAAGGTAAAGGCACAGGCCGGCGCATAGCGCTCATGGAATCCCTCACCATATGAACTCTGACCCCTCAAGTGTACAAGTGAAGAGAGACCATGTGTCAGCTCCTTTTTAGAATAGCATTTCTTCTCTTCTCTGAGAAACAAGGGTATGAAAAGAACAGCCAGAAACAAAGGAAGAGAGGCACAACGTGACTACGTAAATGCACTCTCCTAAATATTAAACGAGTAAGAGGTGAAGAAACACAAAGCCAGAAATTGAAATGAAAAGGCACCATCATGCTTCCCCTTAGAATAGGGTGGAAATTATGAAAAGGGGACAGGGGATACTAGTGAAGAGGGACAACAGTGAAAAGGCCCAACATATCCAACGTACTAGAACTCTCCAAAGAGACAGAAAGTCAAAGTATACGCCGAGAGGCACAACGTGACTACGTAAATGCACTCTCCCGTTTAAATTAGTTCAAGGGAAAGGGGGTGAAAAACTAAACTAATCAAAATAAGGAAGTAGAGAGGCCTAAATGCCCTCTCCTAGTTTCAGTTAAAGGAAAGAACTGGGGAACAAAAAAGTACAGGAGGAAAGGCCCAACGAGTCAACGTCAACACACTCTCCTAGAATAGTTCAAGGTAAACGGGGTAGGAAGAATATAGTAAGAAACAGAGCTGAAAAGGCGTCCAAGAACGCTTTCCCTCTAGTCCAGGGTGAAAATGTAGGATAAGAAACAGAGATAGAGAGCACAACAACCTATCTCTTCGTCAGATGCACTCCCCCACCTGGATAAGCGACTCTGTACCCTCTCTACCGGACCTTAGATCCGCAGAGGGAGAGGGGAGGGACCAACCCCAAGGGGGGGTTTAGGGTTTTAAAAGAAAACCCAGCAGAGATCCAAAAATGGTTGAAGAAGTTACAAAATTACAAAACGGTTTATAAAACCAAGAGGTAGAGGTATATCCCTTATATCCCTTCACAGAACTAAAGAATGCTTTTAAATAAGGTTTAATGAGATGATGGAATCAAAGCTGAACTGTATAACATAAAAAGGCACATGCTGAAAACCTAACCCCAGCAGTGGGGATTCTCCCCCAGGAGATTTTTAGAAAT